GTTGCAAATGTTGTCAAGAGTCAAAAGCACTAAGCCCCCAACAGAAGTCTTTCCAATGGTTCCAGAACGACTGCTGATATGATAAGATTGGGCAATGTCAGAGGCCGGCTGAGCCATACACTTGCCTTGTTGGACCTTGTCCTTTGAACCCTCTGGTATTGTGCTGGATCCAGCTCAGAAAGTCCAAGAACATTCAAAGAAGCAGCTGCGTCAGTCCCTGTCCCAAAACCAATGATGTCGGTGGCGCGAGATTTCTCCATGTCAACCTGCAATCTGGCTCTGGAAACTCCAAAGCTTTCACCTTGACTACTCAATACCTGCCTTCTTCCCGAACATTGCCGACCTAATTGCACTTGGTGTTACTTAGTAGTGGCATGTTGTTTGCTCTCAGCCCACAACCAAGCCTGACCAAAAAGGTTATGCAACGCAGTACCGAGCCTCAGTCTGCAGAAGACTCGTCATGAGTCATACGAGTCATATAACATACACAATCTTGTAACTATGTATATTTAAATAAACATACTTAAAATTGAAATATATAAGTTAAGAAATGTTGTTTTGTTTGCCGCTGTTGTCTTGAGGATAGCACATGTAAAAGCGGATGGCATCTCCACAGCAGGTCCATCTGGATATTACCGGAATGTCCGGCTTGTGTCGAAACCTTGCAAGCACTTGATTTGGCGTGTGGCACACTAGGTTGTTTTGACATTCAGCCACTTATTCCCAAGAGCATGACACTGTCTCCAGGATAGACAACCAGATGCGCACACCTTGCTCTGCGGGTGGTGTGAGATTTGTACCAACAAACCTCTCTCTATAATTTGCAAGGGCTCATTGACATGACACCCATCAAGAAACTGGGGCCACAGCATGATTCCTCTCGGGACTTGCAACAACCCAGCCGACAGTGATGAACTATTTGCTGACATCTCCAATCCTCAACACAACAGCTCTACAATCAATGGAATGCAAGATGCAACACAGTGGCGTTCTCAGACGCGCGCTCCGTTGCACAATGAAAGCAAAAGCTCCACTGCATCCAAAGAAGGAGATGGTGATTGCTCAGACTCATCCAGCGTCGGGCCTGACATAGAACACATGTCGTGTCTCCTTACTGAAACTCTGACACAAAATAAACAAGCATGTCCAAGCCCCTTGCTTTTGATGATGGCTTTCTCAAGAATGTTGCGGGCATAGGCCTGATGCTTTGGCTTTGGCCTAGGTTCAGCAACTTGTGACAGGCCACGGCCACGCTTTGTTTTGCTTGAGTTGTTAGAGCTGTATGTTGTGAACAAGACAGCAGTTGAGTATTGAGTTTTCCACTGGTCATAGCTGATTACCAATCTTGCGTTGAGCACCGATCGGGCATGTAGCAAGAGATCCAAAAACATGCTCCCCTGGGAAAACAAAGATGACAAACAGAACCTCGGATCTTGAATGTTGAGATTCAATCTTCCAAACATGTCCATGTCCACTTCGATACAACTACAACTGCAGCCATACGGTAGTCACAGTGCAAAAGTGCCAGCAAAGATACATAAAGGGAAGGTCACCCAGTGTCTTCAATGCCACTTCGGAGCAATGATTCACCTCGTGCCTTGCACCATACTCTTTTTTTCTTATCTCTCTCTCTCTCTCGAGTTTTTGGTACTAGGATCCAGGCACCATACATGGTTGTCGAGAAACCTAAAGCACAGGAACCAGAAAACAAATATGAGGAATCAGGATCTAAGTCTACGTACATTCGCCATCTTCAAAGTTATAGTCTATCTACGTACACTCGCCCCTAGGACCAAAACATGACAGGTTCTTGGCAACCGACCAAAACATTTGAAGGTGATGATTGCCCAACATGGGATATCATGCTCAGATTGGCGGTTGCCGAATCGCATACAAACGTTGTCACCAGCCAATCACTGACATCTGCCAGGCCTAAAGAGCAAATGCTGTGGATAGTGGACAGTGGACTATAGGAAGTGCCAGCGTCGAATCTGTTTTTACGCCTTTTTTGGAGTGTGTGTTTATATCAGCCAAAATGCCAAACGGATGAACTGGCTGCTTTGCTACAAGGCCTTTCCACAAACACCTCGCTGTTTTCCGGCGTAGAACTGCTGGAGGATTCACAATCTCAGCAACAGTTGCTCAAACTGATTAAGAATCAATGGCGGTGACGGCAAAAAGACCATTCTGAGTATTGGGCTGTGAGTTTGTTGGATCGATGTCCAGCTTTGGTCGAGAAAATTGTCGTCCGTGATACCTTAAACTGGTTAAGACTGGGGATTCTGGCTAAGATTGATGTCCTCTGATCCAGGATATTGGGTCGCTACTAGCACCGCCATAGTTGTCGTGGTCGAGCAAAGATCGGATCGCACCTGCATCTTCTGCCCGGTCTCATCAAATTCAATGTGCAAGCCAAGCGTGGTAGGCTCCTCCGCGCTTGCGCAAGGTTGAAGCAGAATCTACTTGCGCTGCAATGTTTTGTTGTCTTGCCTATGGCATATATATCTATATGTATAAATTATTTAGTATTGCAAGTAAGTTATACTAGCCTTGACTAGACTATACCTAAGACCATATGTAGCTATGTTCAAGTCCACGTCTGGTCCAAGAACAGACTGTGACTTCGGCCCTATTCGATGCTATCAGTTCAGAATACGTAACTAACTGAGATGTTTGGTTTCTCTCCTCACACCGGGCGGTCATCTCTGCCATGACCTCCTCCTGCTTCTTCAAGTATACATTGGAAACAGACTTTTGAGCCTGCGGGCGATCTCGACTGACGTACGTTGTGTGCCTGCATGCCATTGTTTAGTTTTGTCAGCTTTGTCTACTGTGGACTTGCAAGTTGGATTGTAGTTGCTGACCACCAACCACTCAACATGCACAGGCCTTTGACACGCTAGCAGGGCTGCAGCCCATCCAGTAGGATATGCTGTTCAAGCTGAACCTGGTCCAGACTCCGGTAGTAGTGCAATACACACTTGAAGTCCAAGTTTAATATGAGTTGAACAGTAAAGAGCACGTTAAAAGTTAAAACAATGTTGTGTCGTGTGATTACTCAACAGACAGGGCACATAACTGGAGCCTTTGACTTCAGCCGTGGGATGCGTTTCCTTTTCTTCGTGCTTTGCTTTGACTCGGACAAGATTCCTTTCACTGATCGCCCCAACCTAACTCAACAAAACAAAAGAGCTCTGGTAGGTAGGATCTACACAAGCGGTACTGTCAAACCCTTACACACATTTTTAATTCTTATATACAGTACATTATATAAGTGAGAGAAGTCAATGTGAAACGGAGATAAGCGCGCTACGCAGCACGGAGGATAGCTCTGCTCGTCCAGCTTTTGTATTGGCCTGCGTATGTATGTTTGTCAACTCTCAACTCTCACCTGTCACCTGTCACCTCTCCTCGGCCAGGGACTTTGCAGCTTCTGAGCAAATTCTTCCCATCTGCGTCCACATCAATTGTGTCTTGACGTCTCACAGCATGGTCCATGTTGTAGACCATGATTTTCTTCCTGCCGCATGTCGCGATAAAAAATGAGATTGGGTGAGCTAGTGCTCAACCGAACCCCTGTTCTATATGAAAGAAGTTTGTTGAAGCTCAAGGGAAGCGACCAACAACTACAATAGTATGATGATGCTTGAACTTTCGAACTCCAGTTCAACTAACGAAGTGAAAACAAAAGTGGGCTGTCAAAAAGTCATTCTCAACACTCTACAGGAAGCGCCTGGCTGCTGAAAACTTCCTAGTGAAGTTCCTTCCAAGCTGGCGGTTCTTCTTTCCTCCCAGTAAAATGTGCTACAAACCATTTCAGCGAAGCAGCACCTCTCAATTCACAAATGACACTGGCCTGCACGCGCCAAAGCCATTCGGCTTTGCACTGAGTGTTGTCGTCCAAGTGCAGCGCATTGCCGCTGCAAAGAATTTGCTAGTACCACCGCCAACGAAGGCATGGGCAACGAAGCGTGAACCCATCAAAATGAAACACAAGTCTAAGTAAAGTGGTAGCTAGTTGAGTTGGCAACTGAACAGAGCAGTGACTCGTCGAATTCTCCCGTTAAGATAAACATATCCAGCTGGCCTTGGACACTATTTAAGCAAAATGCTATCGGTAGGACCCGGGCAAGATTGAATTGCCAATGTTCTTGATTGCATCATCCCTAATCATGGACTTCGGCCTGGTCTCTGAGCATGCGTCACTTAAAAAGACTTGGGGGATACTACGCAAAGTGTATTTAGTTGAGAGTCCGACTCGCAGTCACGGTCCACCCGCTCCATACACAACTTCCGCAGTGCAACAATTTATCAATCGACTGTCCACGCACTCATACCGTACCCAACAATCGCACCCCGCACCCGTACCCGCACCATGACCCGTGCCCAACAATCGCACCCCGCACCCGTACCCGCACCATGACCCGTGCCCAACAATCGCACCCCGTACCCGTACCCGTACCCAACCATCGCACCATACATTCGTACCCTGCCTTACCACACATTCGTACCCTGCCGTGCTGGCTCAATAGAAAACATGCGTTTCACATGTCTTGAAAATAGCTAAGTCATAAGTATATATCGTTTGGACACCATGCAAAAGGGCCGCAAGAACCTGCAGGGCCCCCGGCATCCCTTGCATGTTCAGAGGACAGGCTAGGATGGTGAGGTCGGTGGCTCGGCTGTATGCCACATTTGCTCGTGTGAAACACTCCTGGTCATAATCCAGGTTGTGCCCTTCTCCACTGAGGAAGGTTGACACCCCGTGAATAACGATGCAGTGTTTGGCCGTGGCACCTGCAACTTTGACTGCAGTTTCTGCATTGGCCTTTTTGCCTGCAATGGAGAAGTAATTACGTAGATTCGTAGCCCCTTCCCGGCTAGTTGTAAGGGCTCCTGC